TTATACGCAGGGTAGTTGTATTATGTGAGGCAGAATTACGAACTTAGTTGGTGTTTATTGGGAGATGAAGTATAGTTTAAGGAGATGTGTTTGGGTATCAAGTTGACAGGAGTGGAATGTGGCAGTTAGGGATTGTCAACTTGATTGGCTTTAGGATCTTCCTGAGGGATTAGTGGACAACACTTCTTAGATCTGGGTGGGTATTAGAGGCATGACCCTGGGGGTTGATATCTGGTCTCTGGTCTCTCCTTCTGAGCACTGTTCCCTTGTTCTGTTTCCCGACCACCATAAACTAAGCAGCTTTGCTCTACCTGCCCTCCACTGTAATGTTCCTGCCTTAGAATCAGCTTACCACGGACTGGATCATCTGAAAATCTGAGTCAAATTAAACCTCTCCTTCTTTAACTTGTGAGTATTGGGTGTCATGTCCAGCAATGGGAAAGTTGACCAATACACTATTTAATACCATGACTGCTTAACAAATGCCTTAGGACAGGGCAAGAGCTTGAGCACCTTGCTTCATCCCCTGACCTATATACTGAACACCACTTTGCTCAGACTGTAGCAAGACATCTGCTAAGGATGACCAGGACTCTGTGAGGTCAGAAGTGCCCTGTAGGTATTAATAATGTATGACGCTGGGCTGGGGATTTAGCTCAGTGGTTCTGCCTCCTGCCTCGCAAGTGGAAAGACCCGAGTTTGATCCCCAGTACCAAAAAAAAAAAAAGCCAGTAATGTGTGAAGCTAAAGGACTGAAAGAAACTTTACTTCTCAGTGATCCCCAAATTCCCTTCAGGGTGAAATCCAAATTATAAAAGCCAGAGGCCACTTCTTGCATCTCCAACTTTAGGTTGACTTCCAGTTTAAGCAGATGGTGAAACAAAGAAGCATGGGGAAGTGATAGAGAAATACATATGAAACCATAGCTGCACTCAGAAACAGGAACAGAGCTCTTCCCATGCAGGATGGAGAAATATCCACGGGAGAAGGACCAAGCAGGAACCTGCAGCAGGAGGCCAGACGCAGTCCCTGTTACCCGCAGGCAGAGTGGCTGAAGTCAGCACAGTGGGAAGGGCTGGCATGTTTGTGTCCTGGAGAGGACAGAGGCTGGGCTGGCACTCGTGCCTTAAAATATTACCCGTCTAGGAGAAAGGACTTCAGTCCAAGTGGCCACATGAGTCTTGGTCAAAAGCCATTGCCCAGAGAGAATCTTCAAACTGCCTGATGTCATTCCTGAGACTGCACCAGGAGTCTCTCGCACCCCAGGATACTGGGACCAAAGCTGCCAACGAAGGCCCGCACAGGCAGAAACCATTGCCCAGGGAGCTAAGCACCAATCTACACACAAACACTGAGATCCAAAGAAGTCTACATCAATAGGGGAAACTGGAAATGACATTTTAGATTTTTAAAGGAATTATCCATTGCATAAAGGAGCCTGAAACTTAAGGCAAGAGTAGGTGATCTCGAAAAAGAGCTAATGAGGAATTTTAGAAATTAAAATCTAATCTTCTTAAATTTAAAAGCTTAGTAGCTGGATAAAAGAACAGTCAGACATGCTGAAGAAAACATTGATAAATGGGAGACTGAACTGAAGACATCATGGCCCTATCCCCCAAAGACACAGAAAGACAGAAATGTGCAGGCCATGAAGATGGCATTCAGAGCTCTGCACAGTTGTCTGGAATGTTGAGAGGAGGGACAAAGAGGACTGGAGCAGTGCTGATGAGATAATTACTAGAAATGCTTCGGATGTGGAGATGTGTAATTCTTACACTGCCTTTCTGATGATAGCCCCTAAAGGAATTTTAGGATAGCAAACATAATGAGGATAGCAAACATTTCTAGCTATTTTTGGCTCATGCTGTGACACTACAGTTTCCTGAAAATACTGCCTCCACCAACACCTTTAATCCTTCCTAGATTGATTGTTCTTTTACCTCCTTTAACTTGGCTAAGGATTCTTTCCTCAAGAAAGTCTTTCCAGGATCCCTCCTAATTTCCTGTTCCCTGTTCCCCTTAAATGTTAGAAGGGCAGGTTCCCCTCCTCTCAGCACCCCATCACTATAGCATTATGGCTGTTCATTTGGCTTGTGCTCTCACAACTCTATGAGCTTCCGGCAGTCAAGGGTGGAGTCTGCCATTTTGGTTCTTCAGGGCTCAGAATGGTTCCTGGTACATGGAAGTCAGTCATGCCCATGGTCACCTTGAAGGATTTGGGAGTGTCACACTGTAAGTCAATGATTGAGTTAGCTAGTTGGATGTATGAATGAGCCTTCAAGGTCCTGGCAGGCCAGCCATGAGTTTCCTCGGGAGATAGAGCCAATTATTGACAAACTCAAGCTTCTGGCTTCAGTGGAGTACTATGAATAACATATCCCATAATGCTTCTGCCACAAACTGTCCTATATAAAAATCTACACATTGTCAACACATCTTTAAAGACCAAATAAGGTAATAGTTTTTCAAAATAATAAAACATTTATGAGAAGAAAAATTTTTAGCAAGCAAATAAATTGCCTTCCCATCTTTCATATCCATGGTTTATTTAAATGCCACCCCTAAAGTGAAATAAATAAGACACACATGTGTAAATACCAAATAGTTTCTCTAGTGTGAGAAACTGAAAGTGTAAATAAGGACGAAAATGATTAAAATTAATAATTGATAATTTGAATTAGGAAAAGGTCCAAAGGGGTAGGGGTGGTGGGAGGGGAAGGGGAAAGGGAAGAAGGGAAAGGAAAAATTATGAGAAAGAAAAAAAAAGGAAAACTAAAAGGAAAAAAAATGAAAGCAAAGTCTAAATAAATAGGGAAGGGTGGTGGGGGTGAAGACTGCACAGGTAATGGGGAAAAAATAAGAACTAAGATACATCATGTACAGGTACAAGCACCCAATGATAAATGTAAAAGTATTGTATACCTAAAATGTACCAATTAATATATAAATAAAAATTTAAAAATAAAAAAATAAATGCCACTCCTACATTTTGTTCTTATTTGACAAATGGATACCACGGAATATGGAGCCAGAATCATCCTTGAACAGTGAACTTTAATTAGATGAAATTTAAATTTTAATATGACTGTAATTTTTAATTTTTATTTTTATTAGTACACATTTTCAGTACATAATGATTACATTCATCATGGGGAGCCAGTGCGTGTACATAGTACACCTAGATTCCTTAAATACCCCTTTTCCCTCTTCTCCCGGCTCCATATCTTGATCCCCTTTTCTCTTGCAAAAGGTCTATCTCTCTGTTTCCTATTAACTATCTGTGTTTTTGCTCTTTAATTTATTTATACTTTGGTCTTCCCATATCAGACAAACCATGTGATATATAAGCTTGTTTTCTGACCATGTACTTAGGAGTCTCAAGAAAATGTATAACTCTTAATTGCTGGGATACAGTACAGTGATCTTAGACCAATGTTCAGTCGCCTTTAAATTCTCATTTTCTGTCTGTTTTCCATGAGGAAACCATCTTGTTAGAAGCTGTGTGTCTTTTCTAGAGCTGCCTCAGTGGCAGATAGCCCAGGTAGAGTCAGGTTTTGTTTTCCACTTCATGTTTACACCCCGGGGTAGCTCCACACACAATCACATCTCCCAAGAGCCACCTTGAGCCATATCATTCTGTAATTTTCAAAAGCCTTTTGTATGCAGTCATTTCCTTTGATATTCAGGAAATCAATCAGTGCACAAAGAACACTTGGCTTCTCTGGTAACTTCAGTACTCTACTATCCAGAAAGGCCAGAAAAGAGAAACTCAATGTGACACAACAAAATCTATGAACGACAACCCTAGAAGATGCTTTGAAGAGCTCATCTAGAGATCATTTGTTCCTATTTCATTATACAATTCTACGTTCCTTGCTATTTTCCCAATTTGCTAGAGATTTTGAAAGAGAAAATTAAAAGAGGCAAAGGGCACTGCGGAGGGCAGGTACCATGGCAGTCCAATGCTTAGAAAGAGACACAGCCATAACAAGCAGACATCAAAATTCAAACACACACTGACCAGGAGCCAGCTGACAGAGGCTGTGCGCAGACCCACACAGTTAGCCCCAGGATGACCTCACAGCCACACAACACAAAACAAGGATGTGAGGAGCCCAACACAAAGGACAAAAGTCATGAAGAAGAGTGCAGTGACATTAGCGCCCTGTGGTTAGGAGCTCCAGATAGAGGATGCATAGCACGGGTGGACAAGGGAAGGGAGTATCTTGTTACTATAACAGGAGAGATGCTGGTTTGGTGGACTGCTCTGTGTGCTCCCTCCATCAGCCGAGGTTCTCCTGATAAGGCAGATAAATGGATTGCTGAGACTCTAATGGAGGCAGGCTCTTCCCATGAGAGCTAAAATCCTAGAAGCTTTGACCTCTGCAAATAGGATAAAAGCAAGTGGATCTCTAAATTCTCACCCACTGAGGCCATGAACAAAATATCCCCTCTTGGGCTGGATATTAGTTTGGTGCCTTCATGGGCTTATTCCAGGCACATCCTCCTAAGAATGGATGAGTCAGGTTGGTTGGCCAGTTTGGATGTCATTCTGTCTGAATAAGCCCTAACCCAGAACCCAGTGACAGCCAGGGACAACTGAGGCTTTGGGACATAAATACTTAAGGAATGGCTCATGTGCTTTTGAATTCCCAGAAGCCAACACACTGCCTGTAGTTAGTAGCATTTGACACTTAATGAATGATTGTTTGCATTATCATGGAGTTCCTTCTGTCTTATCCCTACCTCATTCATGCATCAGCCTTGAAGTGTTCACCTCTGCATGTAAGGAATAGAGTCATTTATGCATTGCCTGTGTGTGTGAGGACCAAAAGATGCTATTTTACTGAACTGTGTTCTCCTTACCATAGTTTTTAATAATTCAATAAAAAAGATAAAGCAAGACTGGCTGTTCACCACCCATTTACAAAAATTATATTTTACCATATGTGTTATTTAACCAATTAAAGTCTCACTATCTCTCTCATTTTTTTTCCTAGTGGAAGATAATAGTCTGTCTCAAAAGAAGAAAGTCACTGTGGAAGATCTTTTCAGTAAAGATTTCAAAATCCATGACCCAGAGGCAAAGTGGATAAGTGGTAAGTGGTAAGGACTCTTCCTTGGAGCCCTGAGGAGCCCCCTTCCCAGTGCCCAAGCCCCTGTGCCATGATTCATTCATTCTCCATCCCTTTGCGGCTGTGGGAGCTCTGCAGATGTGCAGAGCTACGCTGTTAGAGTCACCATACTCTACCACTATGACCAAGCAGACCTGGTGAAACTGGGCTCCTTATTTCATGGTGCTGCCTGGCAGACTTCAGCACGCCTCAGCTTCCTGAGAAACAGCTCTGTTGAGGGTGCTTCCTCCATGGGTCCCCTCCTGGAGTCACTGATTCACAGGAAGAGGTAGCCTGTTGCTAAGCAACGGCCCTAGAGGTGCCTGAACCTGCTTGCCTTCTCCTTGGTTCTGCATGATCTTCTGTCCTCTTACTGTCACTTTCTCTGGGCAGAGGAACCAGCAGTGACAAAGGACTCCTGCAAAAGACTGCCAAACACAGGGATCCTGGCGTGCAGATGCTGATGAGTTTATTTTTCCTCTGGAACTTTAATCTGGATCAAACCTAGCTTTTTTAGGAGGAATTTTTGTAAACATCAGAACAAAAGACAGTTGGAGTGGAAGGCAGTGTGCTCCTAAGTTTGGGGCCCAGTGTGGTCTCTTTCTTTCCTCCGCTGTGTCTGAAGCCTTGTAAGTGGCTCTCTGTGCTTCCCTCCAGCACCTCACCTGTTATCTCTGCCACTGTACTTGGCCTTCAGCCTGTGCTTCAGTGGAATACACTTGAAAATAATCCTCAGGTCGGGACCCTTTCAAGTGCAATGCTTGAGGTCCAGCTCAAATCCTTGCTTTCATAATAAATGAGGTCCAGAGAGGCTAAGTTGCTTTTCTGAGGTCACAGAGCAGGTTAGCAGCACAGTTTGGCTAGAAGCCCACCTCCTGACTTCCAATTCTGTGCTCTTTCCATTACGCTGTTTTGCAGATTGTACTTTTAGGTATCAAACTGCCTCTGAAATGCTTTTTTGTGCTTCACAAACTCTCAGAAAATCAATTAGCAATGTCTTTCATGTCCTACTTTGGGCAATAGCTTTTCTTTCCTTCTCTACTATGACTGCAGTAATTTATTTGCAAATAAAAGAAGCAGCTATCCTGGAGGGAAGGTGTGTTATAAAAATGGAGGAGAAATGAGAAGGTCGTATTGTGAATGCCAATGGAGGGTGCACAGAAATCCAGATCACAGCCTGAGCACAGGTCGTTCTGCTGACTGAGGCATTGATTTCACCTTTTGCTTTGAGACTACCTTAGTGCCTGGTGTATGTTTGTGCCAATGTGCAGCACAGGCAGGTATGAGCACCAGGGGCGAGCTCTAGGCAAGACCTTGGGAATACATCATGGTTCCTCTCCTAACAAGCTCAAGGTCACATCCTGGAGACAAAATGATGAGACCCCACCCCAAATGCAGAGGAGAAATTGATTTCCTCCTTCTTCCTGAGTAGACATTTTAGAGAGAGTACAAGAACACAGTCTTCTGGGGATGACTAGGACTTGTTAGAGAAGCAGAGAACAGGCCCCTGGAAAAATACAAGTCTGAAAGGTTGGTCTGTGCTAACCCTGATTGGGAGAAACCAGGGTAAGCTGAGAGACAATACCCAGAAAAAGCAAAACAAAAGCTGGCAAAGAGGCAGGTTCTGAGCATCAATCAAAAGGCCAGAACTAAGGGAGAGCAAACCCAAGCCATTCTAAGAGGGGCTAAAATAATGTAGGCATATATTACTAGGATACCACGGCTTCAGACATGGCCAAAATCAGCACTGCCTATGGAAAAAAAAAAGAGTCAAGCAGAGACCTGGTGTCCTAAGGTCACATGTGCTTCTGCAGGCATCTGGGCCGCTGAGTGGAATAAGGAGTTTGTGTGTCACCAGCAAGTCATAGGTGCTGAGCAAGATGAGCTAACTCTCTCTCTCTCTCTCTCTCTGGCCACTGGAAACCAGCCAGGATTTCCTCACATCCCCAAAGTTGGGAGTTAACACAAACTGCTGGGAGGTGGCCACATGCCCGCAGAAATTGCACAGCCTGTCTAGTTGGGCCCCAGAGAATCCTCTCACAGAGCCCACCTGTGGTTCTCATGACCAAGCAGCCTGGGGTGTCGGGACTTTCTCGGAAGGGCCACTGCTTTGTAACTGGGTGTGAGGTTTTGCCTGATGGTCAAGTCTCCCCGAAGAGGCCCTTTGGACACTGGGGACAAAATGGTCTCCCTGCACTGTTCCTAGCAACTTTCCTACTGTACCGTTCCCTCACTTACTCCTCTTCCTGATCATTCCCTTGCTTCCTGCCCCTTAAAAGTGTAACAGCTTATAGCAAATGACTCAGTGGTCAATAGTGGTTTCTGATTGTTTTTTACAAGTGCCATGGAGATTTCATGCATTTTCTTACACCACAAGTCTAATTGTGAAGATCCAAGAAAAGATTGCTATAAATACACAGGGTTATCTCATGTGCAGAGAGCACATCTAAAGCTGGGATGAGCTTTGGAAATCATTAGAACATTCATTCATCTAATAATACTACTGAGGACCTGCAATATAGCAGGCAGATTACTGGGCCCAGAGAGGGTAAGAAATTCACCCATGAACAAGTTATTAATGGTGGACATGGGAATCACCCTCAGCACCACTACTGCCACCACCAAATTCTTCTTCTCTTACTGTTTTTCTTCCTTCTCCTCCTCCTCTTCCTCCTCCTCCTCCTCCTCCTTCTCCTCCTCCTCCTCCTCATCATCCTCATCTTTATCATCTACTAGTTATATATTAACCTCTGGGCTGTTTTATATATATTAATTTTATTCTCACAACTCCTATTATTCCCATTTTGCGGATGAAAGAACTTATCTTTGGGATGTTTGAATAATTTGATCAATATCACACACTTAGTAAGTAGCAAAATTCAGACTTGAACGGAGGTCTCTCTGGTTTTGGTGAACTATCCTCCATTGGAGAGAATCCAGATCTTCTGTCCCCAGCCAATTACTTGTGTAACCTCAGTAGCTGCATTGCATGTCTTAACCAAGATTATAGGCTGGGAATATTTTCTAATTATCACCACCCTTTAAACTCTCTATTCCAGCATACCTATTCCCACGATGCCTATACCAAAGCAACAGAATACCCAAGTGATAAAGAAAAATGGAGTAAGTCTCTGCAGAGAAAGAGACAGGATATTTTTAGTACACATTAACCACTAAAGTTAACAAATGTATCTTGGGTTTAATATTGGAGTTAATAGTCTAGAACTAACACGCTTTATTTGTCAGGAGGAAATATGTTGGGTTGGAGTTAAGTTTTCCTCCCCCATTTTAGTAGACTTACTTTTTTTCAAACTACCTTTTCTGAAAGTGATTGGTATGACAGCTTTTTCACCCTGTGACCCCTTAACATCTATGTAGACTTCCTTCACATAGTGGTCACCAGCCCAGGGCAGCAGAAGGGGGTGTAGACATCAGTGGCCCTGACCGCACCCCAGCGTTATGTGTGCTATCCCTGTGCAGTGGCATGGGCCAGGTGTGGTGTGCTCTCTCTGGTGTTGCCTTGCTCAGGAATTTCTGATCCCCCTTATGGCAAGCACTCTACCCTGCTCTACCCTCTGGATCCCTTTGTGTGGCTCTGGGATTCCATGATATGGAGCAGCAGCATGGTCCATTCTTGTTTGCATAGGCCAGTGGTGGTGAACCTATGGCACACGTGCCACGGTGGGTATACAGAGCCCTCTTATTGTCAAGAGAAGCAAGTCCCCTTAGCAACCAAGCATTTGATATTCAGTTTTAATTACAGTGTTGGCACTTTGTGATAAATAAGTGGGTTTAGGGTTGCAGTTTGGGCATTTGATCTCTAAAATGTTCACCCTCCCTGGCATAGGCCAATCCACCTGAGTTCCCTGGTCCTCTAGCTCTTTCTCATTCTGAGATGATGGGTGACTAAACCCGACCCTCCTCCTTACCACCGTCTGTCTGCTCTGTCTCATGCTCTGCCACCTCCACCCGTAGCCATCATTGACCTGTCCCCTGCCTGCCCTCCATCTAAAGGCGGCACTGGCGAACTTGCATCACCTGCCTGAGGGATCACTGCAGCAGCAAAACCACTCCTTTTTCCCATAAACGTTGAGGTTTGGAAATTTTATTTTGTTTGTTGTTGGTGGCGTTATTATGTTTGGAGAAATTTTTGTTTTTGTTTTGTTGTTGTTGTTGTTGTTCTGTATTAGATTATTCTCATCTTGCAACAAATATCCCCTCATTTCTCCCACCTTACACATCCACGCATGCACACACACACAGTCCCCTTACCAAGTGCGCATTCCACAGACTCTGCTTTCCCTCTGCCCTGTGTACAGCAGGAAATAGCCGTCCATATTGGCGTCTCCAGTCATTCTTCTCTTCTCTCTTGACCCCAATCCATTCAGCCTCCACCCCACATGCCCAACATCTCTCCTGTCTGGGCCCTGTGGCCTCCGTGTGGCTACACCCCGTGGTCACTTCCCAGACTTCCTCTCACACTGCTGTCATCAGCCTGTGACACAGCCTATGGCTTCTGCTCTGGACCAGTGCTGTTCGGTGTCCCGAGGCTATTACATCCCTGAATCTGGTCTCCGCCTCCTGATTGGTGCCCTGACTGCCCCGTGCTGGCTGTCCCTCTGCCCCACATGTTCACACTGGTGGCCCCAGACCCCAGGCTGTGGTCTCCCTTTCCATCTGACTCCCTCCCCTGGTATCTTATCAAGTGTCATGATTTTCAGTGTTTCCTCCTAGTCCGTTGTCACCTAAATGCACATCTCCATACCAGATCTCTCTCCTGAACATCTCCAATGTCTCATAGACATTGCAAATTTAACCTTGATACCTCCAAATCAGAGTTCTTGATTTCCTTCCAAAACTAAAATCACAAAAATAAAAACTCTGCCCTATCCACAGCCTCCCTTGTCCACCCTCTGATTAACCCTATAGCAGACTGCAGCAGAGGGAACGGTGAATTCCAGAATGCAGCTGGAAGACGTGTGAAC